AATCGATCAGAAGTTCCCAATGGACCTACACGCACAGCTGGACAGAAAAAAACATTGATATTGATTTATCATACCGCCTAAATTTGAAACACTTAAAAACTACATAGTAAAAATGATGTGTTTATCCACACTATCCAATTTAAAAACATATACTCCCTCCATCCCGAATTAATCGTCTCGCTTTCTTTTTTATTCCGTCCCAAAGTAAATGTCTCACTTCCTTACTTTCCTAATAAAGTAAAGAATATGTGGTCTACAATCTTTTTCTTTCCTCTAATCAAGTTTCAACCGCTCTTAACTTTTCAACACTTTTCTTTAACTGTGTGATGTCAAACTGAGACGATTAATTTGGGACAGAGAGAGTAAAATATTTTTCTATCCATCTAATACTAAAATACTTGAAACAAAAGGATGTGATTCAATCTGATGCACATGATGATGTACTTTTCAGGATACAAGCATGTAAAATTAAAACAAGAAACTATCAATCTCTAATCATATGGCTCTCCGTTGGAACAACAAAATCGGAAATCTTGGAGAAAGTGATGCAATATAAGTCTTAACTAGACAAGCAATGGGATAAAGGTCCGTGAGAGTGATGCAATAAATTAAATTCCAAAAGAAGCAGTGTCAGGTCACCTGACTCAGGTGTTCACCTGGATAGTGTAGCAGACGGAGGAAGCCTTCTGCAGGGTTAAGTGCACCAGCTTTATCAAAGAAGTCTTCATCCAAGTTCAGTGCCAAAGCAATCATTGGAGCCAGTTTCTTTCCAGCATTCCTGAGAAAACAATACACCTTAATAATTTAGTTGTGGCTGATTTACATAAAAAAAAGGCATATTGGAACTGATTCCCAGGTTGGACCAAAAGCTGGCTGAGCAGAACTGGCTGTACACAATTCGATTGCATGCTCAATTGTAAAAGCTGCACAGTTCGACCGTCAGTTGGTCCAACCATCGAAATTGCCCAGTCTGGCCCGAGTATTAAAACACTGGAATAAATTAACACATTATTGATCCAACTGATTAAGTTGTGAACTTTGAATGCCTCAGCATGATTAACAGTTTAACACACAAGTACTATACTCCATGCGTTTTTCCCGGAATAAAAAACCAATAGATACCCCTAACTATTTATCATCGGTTTCACTCTAAATTGTTCATCTTCCTTTACACAGAACCAGTTCAGTCTTCATAGGAAAAAAAGATGATTGAATATTGAAAATGAAAAGAAAAAAGAACATCCCTACAAGACATTAATGTAGAGATATAAAAAAGAAACAACTTGTCTTTGCTAAAAATAAATATTCGTATGATACTTACATGACTCTTTTATAGTAAGTTTCCATTGTTGCTTTCCACGATGGTAAATTCTCTAGGAGCTCATAAAAGCAAAACATGCCAAAAAATCATTATAAAATTCCTCCCTTATTCAATGAATTCCGGATCTAATATGCATTTGGAAGCAATATGAACTGTTATATCATAACCAAAAACAAACCACAAACACAAACTACACAAAGCATTATTATTTTAAGCATTGCTAGAATAAGTTTAACAAATAAGTATTTAAATAACCTTCAGATGGCCATTGGTTCAAGTCACTGAGTTCTAAAGGACCAATGTAGAAGCTTTCTTTTGAATCGCCTGATAATGACATTAGAGGGAGTTTTAGTTAATCCAACATACAGAGTAACAAATAAGAACATGAAAGAATGATTTCTTGAAAACTTATTTACTACAGCTACTTCCATTAGCCCCATAGCACCACTTTTCAAATGAAAATCAATTAAAAAAAACATTCCCAAAACTCTAAAAAAACAGCTTTTACTAAAACAAGATTTTGAGAATGAGATATCTGGGTTTCGTTTGGGAATTTCGTCGAACAATACATGAGGGCCAAGCAAACACACTTGAAAAATGAGAAATTGCCCCAAATCAGTACATCTAATTGAAACGGACCTTGAGAAATTACAGAAGGATCGAGCTTCTCGTCATAGAGAGGAGAGTACCCTCGGTGACGCTTGTGAAGAAGCTTCATCTTCTCCGCTTCGGACAGAGAGAAAAACTCTCTGCTTCGCTCGAACACTTCGCCGACCAGGCTTTGCTCGACTCCGTGGTTTATCAGATAGAAGAAACCGAACTCCGTACATGCCTGCGCCAATTGCTCTCCATTTTCAGTAGCAGAATTTTCTCAGTTTCTCATACGGTTCGAGAGCTAAAGAAAAATACCTGGCGAATGGATTGAGCAGTGCCGATTCGGTCCGGAGAAGAAAGGTCGATCACCGGAAGTTGAAGTGTACTCGCCATTTCTGACCGCCAGCTTTTGCGCGGTGGTGTAAGGTTGTTTGGTTGGGAGGAGTGGTGGCTTACATTTGCCGCCTAACCCCTAAACAGTAAACTGGCCCCGCACAATAAAAAGTTAAAAACTTCTAAATAATTAAAAATAATAATTTTTTTAAATAAATTAATGGTCAATTTATATTAGATTTTTGATATAATCACTCTAATGAATAAATGAAAGAACAATTAAGGTATAAAATGTGTTTTGTTTGATATTGCTACTACGTAAAGAGTATGAGGTATTATATATTGAAATAACATTATCAATGTGTGACACGTTGTAAATAATACGGAGTAATAAAGACGTATTCATTTTATTAAATACAGAGTATACTTATAATTTACTACCTCCGTCCCAGATTATTTGTCCACTTTCATTTTTACACATCATCCAATACACTTCTTTAATCTATTTTATCTTGTAATTTGTATATTAAAAAATTATAGAAATTATATATTAATAATCTATATGTTAAGACAAATCAAATAATATCACACATGACTATATTTAGGCTTACACATTGAGAGAATTTGATGAGTCAAAGTGCTTAGATGAACAGTTCCAAAAGTCAAAAGTGGACAAATACTCCGGGACGGATAGAGTACTTTTTTTCTTCATAGAAGTATGCTTGTGTGCTTATAATAATTTGAAATATCTCATACGAGTATTCATTTTAACTAAATTACATACAAAACTTTTTCTCATCCATTATGAATATCTCAAATGACTTATACTACCTCCGTCTCACTCTTTTTGTCCAATTTTGACTTTTGGAACTATTCATCTAAGCACTTTGACTCATCAAATTCTCTCAATGTGTAAGTCTAAAAATAGTCATGTGTGATCTTGTTTGATTTGTCTTAACATATAGATTATTAATATATAATTTTTATAATTTTTTAATATATAAATTACAAGATAAAATGGATTAAAGAAGTGCATTGGATGGTGTGCAAAAATGAAAGTGGACAAAAAGAGTGGGACGGAGGGAGTATATCATTTAAGTCATNTTTTTGTCCAATTTTGACTTTTGGAACTATTCATCTAAGCACTTTGACTCATCAAATTCTCTCAATGTGTAAGTCTAAAAATAGTCATGTGTGATCTTGTTTGATTTGTCTTAACATATAGATTATTAATATATAATTTTTATAATTTTTTAATATATAAATTACAAGATAAAATGGATTAAAGAAGTGCATTGGATGGTGTGCAAAAATGAAAGTGGACAAAAAGAGTGGGACGGAGGGAGTATATCATTTAAGTCATTTTATCTACATAATTTTTTTTATTTCATAAGTTAAAAACTGCTTATGAGAAATAAGTTAATTATCAATCAGATAGAGAAATCGACTGGGTTCAGTGGCCACGGAAGCTACTGTCCTCATGCTTCGTTCGTAAAATTGATGATTCCTACCCCTCCTAACCTCCGATAAACCCCCTGCCTAGTCCCGATCCCTACTCATCTCGCCACCTACGTCAATTGCATCCCGCAAGTATAGTTGATTTTAAAGTCTAAACTTTTGACCTCAAAGACAACTAAAATTGCGGGGTGCAATTGACGTAGGTAGTGTGATGAGTTGGGGTCAGAACTGGACAGAGAGATTTACCGGGGGTTAGTAAGAGTATGAATCATCAATTTTATGAACGGAACATCGTAGATGTCTGATGGTGTAAATTACCTAATCGGGTAAACAGTACTAAACCGGGTCTAGGATTGTTTACTAGATTCGGGAAAGTAAAAGGTAAAAACAGACAAAGTAATTAAGAGGACTGTAGGTGGAAACACCTGTAGCCTAATTAATATTTGAATATAGTAGAGTGCACGGGAGCTTTTACATAGGAGTTTTAATGAGAAGAAATTGGATGCCTTTCTTTGAAGGTTACAACGGTATTTATAGTAAGCTAGATGAGAGAAGGCGCTGCACATCCAGGCACGTTCCTGGGTGGTCCGAGGTGACTGCATCTGTCATCTAGTGACCTTGTCACCTAGTGAGGAAGGTGACTTCCTTGTCATGTAGTATTTTGGACGGATTGCTTAAGTATCTCCAATGATTCTTTGTTGAACTTGGCCGCTGCAGTCTAAGTTCCTTTGGATTCTTCCTTACCGACACTCCCAAACTATGGAAATCATACCGGGTAAATTCCCAAGGGATGGGTTTATTAAAATCGGAGATCATAGGTGTGAGTCGAGTAATTTGACCGGTAGACTATCCGAAGTATACCAGTCAAATTTTATCATCGGCCAATACACTACTAGTGTCGTTCCGTCTTCCCCATCTCAGAGATTTAACCTTGACCGGTCAACTATTTGAAGGTCTTCCTTTGACAGTAACTGGGTGATTACACCCATGTCTGAATCGCGACAGTGGCTTCCGTGGCCACTGAAACCCAGAGGCCACAGAATCGAGCCGCAAGAAATACTCACTTAATATTGGTAGTACAAAAATGTTAGAGGTACACCAAAACTGTACCCCAAATATATACTACTCCTCCAAAATGAGTGGTAATAGAGGGGATGATGTACATTTGGGATATACTTTTGGTGTATCCGTAATATTGGGGTGCATTGAACAAATTTTTGTGAAATGGATGGATGTAACCATTTTTGGGATGAATATTTGAGAAAAGGTCATTTATTGAAATTTACTATCGTAAAGCCCCTCACGGCGAGGAATTCACTTTGAACCATTTCTGTCAATTTCTTCACTATTTCTGCGTTTATTGAGGAAGACCTTGAATTGTGAGTAAAATTAATCCGATTTAATTTTGTTTTTGCTTCCCTATCTGATCCCTTTGTTAGTTGCTTTCGCTTTGATACCCAAAAAATAAGTTTTTTTGTTCGTGATGTTCAATATTGCCTGGGTTGGATTATTGTCTCATTAGGTCTGAAGAAGTTAAATCTGAAGTTTTTCTTTAGGGTTTTTGGACATGTTTTTTCAACTTTTTATTCCAGTATCTGGATTTTAGTTAAAATTATCTAAAATATTCATATTAGTTTAAATTACTATTCATATCAGTTTAAAATTATCTGGATTAAATTCATCTAAAATACGGAGCATTCATTTTAGTTAAAATTGATAGCTAGAAGCTGCCCTCCCTATTTATTTTTGTTTTTTTTCTTCTCGAGTTCCCCATTTTCTCGGTGAATGTGTAGGATTTCTTATTGTTAAACATGTGTTTCTTTTTTAATGATGTGAATTGTTTCTTTAAGGCATTGGATGTTTTCTAGTATAATTATGAAGTATGGTGTTTTTTTCCAGCACATTTCCATTCCCCTATGGAGCTAAAGATTCATTATTTTTTGGCTTTGGGGTATGATGGAATAAAGCAAATTGGCTCTTTAAACTGTGTGCGCTTCTTGCATTTGTGAAGTAGCCGTTAGTCAATGCAACTTTCGACGCGCATCATGGGTCATCTGGAAACAGCCGCTCTATGTTTTGAGCATATCAGACCCCCTCACCCCACAATGGGTGGGAGCCATTGAGGCACTGGGGTAATGTTGTTGTATTTTTTTCAGCACGTCAAGATGTTGCTCTATGGTAGTTTATCTCGTGGTCCTTTTGATTAGAACTTGATGCATTGATTGATAATCTGAAATCTTTGCATATTTTGAGAACTTGAGATATGGTAAAGTGTAGATGGTCTTTTACTGTTTGTGGTATAGAACATGAGCTATGGCAAACTATAAATCATAACAGTGATTGATAATCTGGAATCTTTTCCACCTGCTTGGAAAGATGTGTTGAGAATATGGCCTGCCCAAGAATTTACCAAACACTAGAAAATGTTATGGTATTTGATTAAACCTTTTCCATGGAAAGTCTATATTCTTGAAATGAGTTACCTTTGTACCAAACACAGCCTTAATTAAAGAGTGATACATTTATTTGTTGGCTTAAGTAAATTAAATGCACATGCACTTAAGTTGTTTGGCACACTTTATTTTTTTACGGAGTATTCAATGCACACTATTTGTTTTTGAATACTTGAGTATTACTCCTTTTTTGGGACAAAGATAACCTTTCAAACATGATTTTTTTTTGGAAAAGAGGGAGTAGGAAGTTTTTTGATTGGTAAACTCGTACGGGTAAATCATACAACATCAAGACATGTATAAATCGAATGCTATATACTCTAAAGTTCTTCTATCCTATACTTAGTCATGGGGAAGCCTAAGGATTCTGGTGGGAAGGGAAAGGGGAAACAGGCAGCAGGTGGAGGTGATGACAGTACTTCAAAGGGTAAAGGAAAAGGTGGAAAGGGAGATGGCCTAGGGACTTGCACTTATGTTAAAGGTCTCTTCTAGTCTTCTTCTTCTTCTTCTTCTTCTTCTTCTTCTTCTTCTTCTTCTTCTTCTTCTTCATCTTCATCTTCTTCTTCTTCTGGCAACATTTTGAAGGCGGTTCTACAAATCATGGCTGCCTAAACTTCCATTGTTTCTTACTTTCTTTGGAGTTTTAGACAGTAAATGCAGCAATGCATTTAGGGTCTAATGAAAACAGTCTCTCTGTTTTACATTGTTTATTCAATGTCTGAATACAAGCGATTGATGTTTGTTTGTTTTTTTTTTAAATTTTAACCAGCTAGGCATATTTTATGCGAGAAGCAAGGTAAGATCAATGAAGCATACAAGAAGCTGCAGGATGGCTGGCTTGACAATGGGGACAAGGTTCCTCCAGCTGAGTTTGCCAAGGTTCTTGTTATTTACTTCCTAGATCTCTAATTCTCAATAATTGATTCTATCTATAATTTTGAACGTACAAAATTATGTGGTGCGGTTCTTTTTTATGACCTTACTTGTGCTATAATTCTTTTAATGAAAAACACTCCCTTTAGTTGTCAACTTCTTGTTTTCGTTTGTTCTGATTTATTTGTCTACTCTTCATATTCAACAAAGAAATTATGATGAATTATCTAAAACACGCTAGAGACAGGATATCTGTCAGGTTGTGGAGCCCGATATTATATTTAATGTAAATATTATAATTCACGCGGTTAGCGTGTATTTTCTATAACTGTACATACTCTGAGTTTGTCAACCAAGAATGTTCTTCATCTTTATCTATATTCGTGAGTGTGTGATTCTAATAGAATGAACACTGTTGACATGAACAAGTGACACTCATTTGAAGGACTTAATTGACATTATAAACTCATTCATAAGATGAGATTTTTTGATAAAAAATGGACAAATAAACCCGAATGGAGGGAGCATATTCTTATGCATTCAATAACTTCTCACATTGCATTTTGTTCTTCAGCTAGCAGCAGAGTATTCAGAATGTCCTTCAGGAAAGAAAGGTGGTGACCTAGGGTGGTTTCCTCGCGGCAAGATGGCCGGTCCCTTTCAGGAAGTTGCGTTCAACACACTCATCGGAGCCACCAGTCCCCCGTTTAAATCTACGTGAGTTTCATCATCACTTCTTTTCAAACACCCATTCTCAGTCATATATATGTGTGGAATTGTGAAATTCCTTGCAACCCCTAATTGCAATTTGGGTCTTTTTGCCTCAAGTTATCACTTGCTCAATTAGACATGAGGTTCTTTTTTAAGCCCCTAAGCATATGTACTTAGTCATAAGCAAATACTTGTGTATAATTTGCAACCCTCAAGTGGAATTCGCGTTTTTTTTAGCCACAAGTTGCGACTTGTTCGGGTAGACATGAGGCTCCTTTTTTAAGCTCCCAAGTCTTGGCTCAAATACCATGTACAATTGTGAGATTTCATCTCAAAACCAATTGGCGACCCTCAAGTGCAATTTGAGTCTTTCTTTTGCTCAAATTTTTCACTTCGAATAGAACTAAGCTTGTCTTAGACTCCGACATCACGTAGAATTATGGAATTTCATCTCAAAACCAATTGGCAATGAAACGACCAACTCATATGCAGTTTTAATCTTTTTTTTAGCATGAATGTCCGATGTTGTACTTTATATCTCCATCAATTAATATGATTTGCTCCATTTACTTCAACATACACACAACACAAGACTGAGGGTATGGGTGGAAATTTGAATGCCCACCCGAGCACCCCCGCACCCATATCAGTTGCAGACATATATACTAATAGTACACGTCTTGTCGGTTGCAGACATGGGTACCACATTATCTTGTGCGAAGGGAGGAAGAACTGAACTGGGACACCCCACCCCCCCCACCATTGGCAAATCCTATATATGATCCTTGTGTTTGAGACTTTGAGTATGTCATACTATATGCATCAGCATGGTGAATAAAATTGTGGACATCTTTAATGTAATGATGGTTTCGTATTTCACTCATTATTCGTTTTGATACCGGCTTTGAATGTCATATTATGACCCCCGCGGAGTCTTCTTTGAATTGTCAAAATATTACAATGTCATATTATTACGAAGTATTATTGTTATTATTATTATTATAATAATAATAATATTATTATTATTATTAAAAGAATTATCCCTTAGTCATGATTCGAACCTGTCGGTGATCAGTGTTCTCCACATATTCCACGTGTCAACACCTAAACCCTCCAACCGTCACATATTTATTCCTACACGTTACATGCATATCCATGCAGACAACGTTGTTCTATACCCCCTCTATTCTTTACCCTCTTTTCTCTCATCGATTTTAACCCAAAAAAAAAAAAGAAAAGAAAAGAAAAGAAAAGAAAAACCTGAACTGTAAAATTACTAAAATGCCATCATCAACATCATCATCCTACCAGACCATAGCCAAGACCACCACCGCCGCAACCCTCGGCGGCGTGTTCCTGCTTCTCTCCGGCCTGACGCTCGCCGCAACCGTTGTGGGCCTCGTCGCTGCCACGCCGGCGCTGGTGGTCTTCAGCCCGGTGATCGTCTCCGCCGCGTTTGCCCTCTCCTTGATACTCTCCGGCCTGGCGGTGTCCGGAGTTTGCGGCACCGCGGCCTCCTTCCTGCTCTACTGGATGTACTGTTATGCCGCCAGCGGGAAGGCGGCAGACAGAGCAGCCGGGATAATTGCCGGGGGAGATCATGATGAACGTCAGGTTGCGGTGGAGGTGGAGGAAGAGGAAGACAACTTGGGAAGAGACATTGATGTGGATTAAATTAATTAAACAAAACACTTTTTCAACAAAATACTTGCACTTTCAAACTTATATTTTACTTTTTTTTTTAACAAATCACCACATTTTCTTTTAAAAAGTCTATTTTATCCCAACTAAATCATATACTTCTTCCATTCTTGAAAATACTCCCCATTTTGATTAAGTGCCAAAATAAAGAAGTGTTAAATTATACTCCGTAGTTGACTGCCATTTTACGTACCCTTGATATTGAAGGATAAAAATAAGATGTGATGGATAGATTATTCGAGAAAAAGTATGATGTGATAGGTATGTTATGAAAAAATATGTGTGAAAGTAAATTTTTAATAGAAAGTAGATCAGAGATGTTTTGGTGGAAGACAGAAAAGTGAAAGATGAATTGTTTTGGAGAGCGGACGGAGTATATAGGTATAATCTATCACATCACATTCTACTTTCACTTATCACATCAAGAGGTAAAATTAGAAAGTGAACTGTAAAATAAATGCTCTTTATTCTTCCCAATAGTCTTAAAATTAGGATTAAATCTTTTGTTTGTACTCCAGATTACATAATTTTAGAGTTATATATAATTATTCCATTTTGCTGCACATGAAGCATAACTGTAAAATTAAAGATTACCCCTTTCATCCAAAATTAACTTTACGCCATGTTTGGGTCAAATGTTTTTAAAGGGAACAGAAAAAAATTAAATGCAAATTAAATTTTCTTTGGTTATGAAGGGAACAAATTAAAAGAAGAGCGGAAGGATAAAAAACAAATAGACATTGTCGCACAAAATAGACATTTCTGTTAACCTGGACGACTCAAAAGTCACAAATTTCAGTAAATGTGATTATTTTTAAAAGACAAAAAAAATAATTACGGGGAAGGAGATAAGGTGGTTGCATCATGGAGAAAAGTTGCCAATCTCCATTAATGGCTTTTACCTAGGATGCAATGGTACGTCATCATTAATATCTTTCCAATACGCAATATGAGGTTCGGACCTAATCCGAATTAATGGAGAAGTTGCATTCGGACATTGAGGGTAAATTTCAATTAATAACTTTGAGCCGTAATTTATTTTGGTAATTTGGTACATAAACATTACTTATAAAATAAAACTAAATTTAAAAGAAATTTCACCATAGTACCGGGAGCCGATTTTGCTACATTTATAAAATAAAATTACACTAAATTACTTTGAGTGTAATTGTAATTTTATATATTTATAATTTTTTTTAATTTTGGCTCCACCATTTTTTATTTTCCTCAATGTTCTTCTTCAAGAGCCCCACTTCTACCCCTTTTAGAGAAGAAATAGGAGAGAATATGAGAAAAAATTAAAATGATGGGTGAAAATTTAGAATTAGAAATATATAAACATGCAATTAACCTCAAAGTGACTTGGAAGTATTCTTGAAACCGGTCCATTTAACTATTTAACCGATTAAATCAGCCAAAAGTCAAATTTTAAAAAAAAAGTATACCTCAACTCCAGAGTCCCCTAATGCAGCCAGACAGTAGTAGATTAATTAAGAAGAGCTTAACTAAGCTATAATTTTTAACTAGTTAAGACTTAAGAGTGAGTGAGATCCTCCTATTATACAGGCAAGAAACGCGAAAATTCCTTTCCATTGCTATCTTAAACAAATCTAGGTAAATTCTCCTTGGCACTACACTATCGACCAGTTAAGCACTTTAAAAATTCATTTTGCGGTAGTACTAGGGAGCCCCCAAGAATTTCATACCATAGTGCACAACAAAGTAATTAAAAGACACATACAAACACTAAATAATTGTGTATGCACACACATTGAATATCTATGTACTTCTCTTATCTTATTGGTGTGTATTTCTAGAGATCACTTTAAATAGGCCTAAAACATAAAAAAAATATTAAAATAAAATTTTCATGTTTTTATTCTCGAAATAGGAGTTCCCACTTGATAATGTGGAGGTAATGGGACACTGTACACGTGCACATTACTATACTTTTTTGGTAATAATGTACATGACCATGTTTGGTAATGTAAATGTATTTTAACTTCTATTTCAAGAATAAAAATATAAAAGTCATATTTTGATATATTTTCAATCTTCTATTCATACTTTAGTCTTTTTCCCGTTTTTCGTCCATGACTAGTATCGCACCCGTGCGTTGCACGGGTCATTTTATGTAGTAGAATATAGAGATTACACGTAGTATCATTTTAAGACTTTTTTATAGACTACATTTTTTGTACAATTTGTGGGAATATTGTCTTCATTGCATATCAGAATCTTCAACCCACTACGATTAGTTACTCTTGAAACTGTAACATATAGTTGTCCATGACTAAAACATGTTGGATTATTGTTACGAAAACATGTGATAAACCCTAATTGCTCGTAGCTTCATCATTAACATTGATGACCTCTCATCAACATTTTTCAAAACAATTAAGATCCCTATTTTTTGTAGAAATGACAGTTTTGAAAAGTAGGAGAAAAAAATCACGATGAATGTAATGACTATGAAAGCTTTTGTAAATGGATGTATTTATAATATGGTTTTTGCATACGGGGTTAAAAAAAAATTTCATTTTCAAAGTGCTATAACGAATTTAAATTACAATTACTATATTTAAAATATGTGAAATTTGCACTAAATAGGACTAAAACATAATGACTTTCCTAATGTAGGACTAAAACTTTTTTATTCCATAAATAGGACTTAATAATGACCTAGTGGGAGGAATAATGTCCAGTAATGATGGACATTTAGTTGAATAATGACTACTTGATAATGACCAAATGTCTTACATTGGGAAATAAAAACATATGGTCCTATATTGGGAAAGTCATTATGTTTTAGTCCTATTTAGGTAAATTTCTCTTAAATTATTTAATTTTTTATATTTAAAGTTACTATAATTAAAATTACTATAATTAAAATGGCAGAGTAATTAATACGGAGTATACAATTATCTAGTCACACGGTTATATAATTAATACCTTGGTTAATTATTACTTTTTTTATTAAAATTACTATAATTAAAATATAGTAAAATATAGCTATTGTAAAATATGGCCATTATAAAATTACTATAATTAATTTGACACAGTAATTAATATACAATTATGTAGTCACACGGTCATATTACTAATACCGTGGTCAATTATTACCTTTTTTTATTATTACCTTTCTTGCTAGTATAATTTCGAACACTTTAAAAATGATAGTTAATTATTACCTTTCTTGGTTATTATCTTTCTTGCTATTAAACGTAAATATATATTTATTTAAAGGATATTTAATTCTTACAGTAGTTATAGTCCATTTTATATTACTATAAGTTCAGACACTTTAATTTCTTACCATCTTTAAATATTGAAAAATTACTATTACTATATTTAAATTATTATATTTAAAATTACTATTATAAAATTACTATAATTAAAATTACTATAATTAATTTAACACGATAATTAATATACAATTATGTAGTCACACATAATATTAGATTTCATTAATAGCGTAATATACAATTTTAATTAAAATTACTATAATTAAAATTACTATGATTAATTTGACACGGTAATTAACATTAAATTACTATGATTAATTTGACACGGTATTCGCACGTAATATACAATTTTAATTAAAATTACTATAATTAAAATTACTATAATTAATTTGATACGGTAATTAATTAGATTTCATTAATAGCGTGCTTAGTATCATTTTATTAATCACCATTTTAACTTCACAATTACCATATGTAATGGGTATACTCTTTGGGCGGGAAAACGTAATATTGATTTCACCTCTTTTTAAATAAAGTATGGATATGGATAGATGACTTCTCCAAGGGAAGAGTGAATACTTATACAAACAATATATTTCCGAAAAGGAAGCAAAATATAAAAATATTTTTTATATACTATCGAACTTTATATCTAGTTTAATACTCGTAATATATATTTCAATTAATCACTTGAATTTTAATAAAAGCCATAAAAGATAAAAAAACATACAAATAGTTTTCATGATTAAGTTCTCATCTCTTTCCACGGCTCATTATTCCATAATATACTATCGGACTTTATATCTAGTTTAATAATATATATTTCAGCTTATTACCAGAATTTTGGTAAAAGATAATAATAATTTATTTCCTTTGTAAAAGGTAATAATGTACCATTGATTATTATTTCCATAATTTATTTTCTCTATAAAATGTAATAATGAACCCTAATTGAAATTAATAAACAAAATTTTATTACCCCAATAAAAGATAATAATGTACCGTAAAAATTGATATTAAAAAATTGACATTTTATAAAAGGTGATAATTTACAAAAATTATATTAAAACATTTGACATTATATAAAAGCTATTAAAGTTAATAATAATAATAAAAGAGATGAGTTTGATACTGAGTAATATATTACCGGACTTTATATCCTTTTTAATAATATATATTTTAGTTTATTACCGAAATTTTGGTAAAAAGTAATAAAAAATTATTTCCTCTTTAAAAGGTAAAAATGTACTGTTAATTATTACTTCTACAATTTATTTCGTTTGTAAAAGGTAATAATGTACCGTAATTATATAAAAGGTAAAAATTGACATTATACTTTGTTTAGTAATACTCCGTATATATTTAAGTTTATTATTGGAACTTTCATAGAAGGTAATAAAAATTCATTTCCTCTATAAAAGATAATGATGTACTTAGTAAGTGAAATTAATAAACAAAAGTTTATTACCTCTATAAAAGGTAATAATGTACAATAAAAATTGATATTAAAAAATGACATTATATAAAAACTATAAGAGGTAATAATGTATAAAAATTATACTAAAAAAATTGACATTATTAAATGCTATAAAAGGTAATAACAATAATACATATAAGTTTGATAATTGCAACTGATAAGTGTGTTTTTTCATAATTAATTTCTCATATTTTTTTAGGATGTTTCCATCATCTCCGATGGAGCCAAAATTTCACCTGTTTTTGGCTTTGGGGTGTGATGGAATAAATCAAAATGGATATCTAAACTATTTGCGCTTCTTTAATTAATGAAGTAGCAGTTAGTCAAGCAATGCAACTTTCGACGTTGAGCCGGGGGTCTCTTTGGAAACAGCCTCTCTACTTTCGAGTAGGGGCAAGGTCTGCGTACACACACCCTCCCCAGACCCTACTCTTGTGGGATTTAACTGGGTTGTCGTTGTTATTGTATATTTTTCTAGGACCTCGGCTCATTATTATTTTCATAATATATGGTACAATAAACGAACTTATGTTTCTCTAATGATTTTTATTCTTACCATTTTTATCATATGGTTTTTATTACTATTCCAATGAAATATCCATAATAATAATCAACCGTTGATCAAGATGTCAAAGCTAATCAACGGTTCACAATGACACATTGTTTGGGCAGGAAAAGCTGGGCCAAAATTCCCTTTTTTAAGTATAGATAGATTTTAAAGGTGTGGCGCCATGTGCCTAACCTTTGATTTCTACAACCACCACCACTAGATATATATATCTCTCTCTCATTTATCATTGATGAAACCCAACCTCCAGGAAATAAATAAAAATCAAAAAAGGAAAATCCATCTTCATTGTTCGACGGTGAGCCTTTGAGCTCCGAAATCAGCTCTGCTTTTCCATGTAAGTCTCCCGTCATTCTCTCCGATCCTCTCCTTCTCTCCCCTCTGCCTTTTCTCCTTCCTCTTTTCCTCACAATCTCTCTGGATCGATCGCTCGGCGGACGTTGCGGTTATGGTAGCCTAGGGTTTGTTTTTTCCCATTTCTGAAGAAAAAGGAGGTTTGATTTTGATTGATAGGTTCTGTTTCTGAGGGCCGGTGCTGTGCAATGACTGGCGCTGACAACCAGTTGATTTCCGTCAGTCCCGACGAGCTCAAGTTCCAATGTAATTCCTTATCTCTGTCCTTTGATTTCTCGCTTTGGATTTGGATTTGCTTTGCCTGCATCGTTTCGTTCGTGTGTGTGTGTGTGAATTGTGTGCACAAATGGCGATTTTGAATTCCTGCAATGGCGTTTGCTTTGGACATTGTGGAAATGCAAGGATTTGGTTCTTCTCCTTCACTATTGTTACTAATTATTACTCTGTATTATCATTATAATTATTATTGGTGTTGTTATCATAATATTCTTCTTCATTTTTGAATAATTTAAAGTATGATGTTTTAGGTTGTGATATGAACATAGAACACTTGTATGTATTTGCATTACAAATGTATTTAGGAATGGATAGTATATATGAAGATCTGGAATGGTTTCAAAATGTTTTTAATTTGCATGAAGGAATTTTTATGTACATTTTCTTGCTTATATGGATGAAGAGGTTCATAATCACTCTAACTTGAACTCTGAGGCACTAGTACTTTTGTTGGTGACCGTTTTCAGTTGAGCTTGGCAGACAAAGTTTCTGTGATCTTATAGTTTCAAATGCTAGAAATCAGTATGTTGCTTTCAAGGTAATCATCTAGCAGCAAACAATGTCACAAAAATAAGTATTAGCCACACTTCAAATTCTTTATATTTTTCACATGACTTGATGGTTATTTCAGGTAAAGACTACTTCCCCAAAGAAGTATTTCGTACGACCAAACACCGGTGTTATACGACCGGGGGACTCGTGTTTCATCAGAGGTGCTCATCTCAAGTTTGCTTTTTTATTTTTTATTTTTTACATTTTCATATGCCAACGTACTCTTACAGATTAGTTGTGCAAGTTCATTCAAGCTTGATTAGGTTCTGGCATAAGACAAATCATAAATCAAAGTTCAAAATGTGGACACAATTCCTCCCCTATGGAAAACCTACCTCATAAATTGTCTTACTTTTGCACCTAACATTTGGATATTAATGATCCAAGGATACCTGATAATAGTGTCTTAGAATGGCTAATAATAATAATGGGTTAATGATGTCTGCAGTGACCCTTCAAGCTCAACGAGAGTACCCCCCTGATATGCAATGCAAGGACAAGTTTCTTCTGCAGAGTACAATTGTTGATAGTTATATTGATGACCTTCCACCAGATACTGTAAGAATCTCATATTGGGGATAGTGTGCTACTATATTGGAGTACGTTTTATTCAAAAAAAATCAAAGTATATTTCTTTGAAAACCATGAGGTATCTGCATACAGTTTAACAAGGAAAGTGGGAGATTAGTAGAGGAGTGCAAGCTTCGGGTAGTATACGTTTCTCAGTCTTCCCCAGGAAATTCAGAAGATGGATTTAGACAAGTCACTGATGCGAACTCTGTAAGTTTTATTGTACTGTAATTTCTTTTATCCTGATCGTTTTTATTCACTTCCAGCTGGCAAAGTTACTTTCTACTTGAAATCAGAATGCTTTGCAATCGATTGTGAAATTTCTGGTTGTTCTATGCACAACATTTTGAGTTTATCCCACCTGGTCCTTCTAGTGACATATTCACCTCGTGCATGACTAATGGATGAGAAAGAGATGGAGAAGAGAGAAATAGTTGATAAATGTGGTAGGTTGTGTGTTTGGTAGGAGAGAAATAGAAAAGAAGTGGGTAGAGATTGAGAAGGAATGCATTTCTCTCAGGTGGGACCCATCATTTTAAATTCTCTCATACCCACCACTCCACCAGACAAGCTCTGCATCTCTCATACCCCTCTGTTTCCTTCTCTCCTATTTCACCTTACACTGGTGTCTAAGGTGACATATCACCAAAGACATTGCTGGAGCTTGGAAGGACCAATGGTAGTCCTCTAACCCTCCTCTTAGAGAAGGGACCATAAGTAACATAAATGCACAAATTTGTTTTCTTCGTTCAAATACTATGTGTTTCGTACCGTGATGGCTGATGAATGGCATATAGCATTGTTGCATTAAGTACAATTAATCCTCTTAGAATGGATTCCGATACCGGAACAGTATACCTTTAAAGCAAGGCGATGCTTTTAAACCAGGGATATATGCTTTTCATTGTTGCATCTATTTTGCGAATAGTCCATTTACAGAGCAAGTAGAACTATAAACTTTTGGTTTTGATAGAATACACTCCCTCCATCCCTATTTTGTTCTTCAGTTTTCCTTTTTGTGGCAACCTGAATGAATCGTCAAATTGTTGAGAATATAATCATTGTTACTATCAATGAAGGACAAGCTGATTCCAAAGTTTTTTTTTTTTGTTTGTTATTTTACCCATATTCCTTATAATCAAGATATTTTAGAAATTGGGCAATAAAATCCGGGCGGAGGGAGTATTACGAGTATATAATGCTAAACATATGTGAGTGATCACTTGAAAACTCCTTTTTCCATGAATGGTCTAGACTCAGATGTTGGAGCGCATTAGAGAGGAAAGAGATGCAGCTATGCGGCAAACACAACAACTTCAACAAGAACTGGTTGGTGACCCCCTTTTTCTCCCTTATGTGCATTTTTTACCGTGATCGAATTCCTAAGTTAAAGCTCTGTTTGATAGAAATTTCTTGTTATAAATATTCTTTACTTGTTTTTTCAAAATTTCTGAAGTAGAAAATAGAAATAGGTTGGCCAATATTTTCGCACATTATAGTGGCAACAAACACATAAAGCAAAAACCATACGAAAGGGCGTCTTAAACGAGCATGAATGAAATAAAGAAAAAGTCACAAGCATGACATTTCTTTGTTTACTTAGCATAACATTTATCCTTCCTTTTTTTAAAAAATTATATATATATTTTAATATTCTTGTGTCCACAGGATGTGCTGAAGAGAAGAAGAAATAGGAAAAATGGTGTGGGCTTCTCCCTGAAGTTTACTCTTCTTGTTGGGTTCATTGGTCTTATGGTTGGCATTCTCTTCCAGCTATTGTTGTCTTCCCCTCCTTCAGAAGAATAACTACTTTTCTCCCTCCCTCTGCAAAATTACAGTCTCACCCCTTTCAATTTCTTCTCACTTTAAACAAAAAAAAAAATTAAATGACCCAAATAGGAAGATTATGTGTTCATTCCCTGGCCTGTAAAAAAATGGGTTCTTCCTTGGTAGCAGTTAGGATTACTCCATGTTAATTTTCTCATAGATGGTTTGCTCTTGGGTCACATTACGGATGACACCAAGGATGACACCGTTAGTATTTTACAGATAATGATTCCTCAATCGGTGTGAAATTGTCTCGCGCGGTGTCAAACTGTGGTGTCATTCTTGAGGATTAACATTTTTCATTTGCATCTTAAAGTAGGGATTTTATTCTCTTAATACAGACATGAGAAGTGGTAATATTCTCTTAAACTAGAAATTTGAGATAATGATGAATCAATCTTATTACCCATATGGTCACTGTCTTCTAACCCATATATGTGGTTCAGGTTTTCATATTATCTTCAAAGTATAGCAACAGACTACTTTGGTTCTTTTATGTGTGTTGTAAAGTTATTTTGCTTTAAAATATTAAAAAGTAACCAAATTTCACCCTAAGAACTTAGGGTCTGTTTGGTACACGAAATTGAAATTGATTTGGATATTGAAATTCTATGGAATTGATTTGGATGCAATTGAATTTTCCAACTCCAATTAATTTTTGGCACTATCATTTCTAATCTACATATCTTTGTTCTACCAAATAGCGAAATTTGAATTGTTATCTACTATTTTAATTACATTGTTTGAATTCTGCATACCAAACGAAGTCTTAAGCATATACTCCGGGGTAGAGAATATAAGAATATCACATTCCACCAACAAAGGTAATCTTCACGACTTTTTGTCAAATTACTAAGCAAAAATGTGGTGTTGCATAAAGGCTATGCTATTAAGTTGGGTGAGGATGATGTGTCCACCACACAAAAAAAAAAAAAGAAAGAACACCTACATAAAATTTCTTCATTGTTAAGGACCATACTATAGTCATGATAACTTTGATACTATAAAGTTTGATGCCATGTTTTCGAGATATACAAAGACAGTTATTATTTGAGTCGTTCAGATAGTCATTTTCTGTAATGGATTTACCCAATTACCAAAAAAGGGTAAATCTATTTTAGTGAGAAAAATGGATTGGCACTTGGAAAGCACTCATTGTTTGCCAAATTTTAAAATGGACAAGCACTTATATTTGAACAGGGAAACCACTAACTGGCATTTGGAATCCGGTGAAATCAATAATAAAAATTGGGTTCGGATTTCACTTGCATTCGATTCCCAATTTGGAATCCCTCTCTTCCAATTG